ACATAAATCAGTAGTAACATACTTACCTCGATAACCACACCAGTCTTAAGTTCAATTCACATTGACGATATTATAACAGATACTCATTTGAAGAATACTATAATTTAAATATATTAACCAAAAGGTGCACTGACTATGTTCAAATAAAATAAAACAAAAGTGACTCCAAATACAGAAAGTGTGGCCATATTATTCAACATTTCGACTTTAATTTGTCATCATCAAGATTAACATATGTACAGTAAATACGTTATTCCTGAGAATCCTGAGGATGAGTAGATAAAGTCGAAACATTGAGTAATATAGCCTCACTTTCTCTATTTGGAATCAGTTTTGTTTTACTTTAAATATATTATAAACTTAAAAAAAGAATACATCGACGTCCTCGGACCAGCTAGAGTCCCTCTGACCAGAAGCTTGACGTCCCAAGTCAGAAGACAACATTGTTTGCAAAGAGTTTCTTGCCAAGAGCATTTGCCGATTAGAGTAAGCTCCAACAAAAACCATCTAGCGGACAATTCCAGTTTCGTTTGAATGAAAAAAAGTATAAAAAAACAATTGCTTTCACCTGAAAATTTAAACATGAAAAAAAAATTTCCTTGCCAAATAAAGGACATTTAAATAATACCATTTCTATTAGTAAAACCACCATAAATCATTGAAATTCATAAACTTATTATCATTAATATACAACCATTATGTGACAGGCTCTAAACTTGCTGTAATAAATGATTGTCCATCTTTTTCAATTATATTACAAGAGTCTAAGAAATCCAAATTAGAAACGTATGTTTGCTTGAAAAACTTTTCCCTATCTGTCTCAGATACAGAGTGAATATTCTGTGTAAGTTTATGAAAATAGTCCCTTGGAGCTGGCATAGTAATCTGGAAACTGAAGCTGAGTGAACAATCCTCTAAAACTTCTGTGTGATGTCTCATTCCCACAAACCAAAATAATAATTCACCTTGAAAAGAGATATTGCAAATTATGTAATTTTTTAAAACAAGTTCCTTACACTAATAATTGATTTCTCTAGCCACCTGACCTTTAAAACCTTTGTTTTGTTTTGTATACTTATCAGGGAACAGTGAAATTTCACTGTTCCCTGATACTTATGAATGCAAAATTTAACAATTCACATGACAGACCTTTTAACTGACCATTTGTTATATAATATATAATATTTATAGTACTGTCTTCTCAGTTCTTAAGTCAATCACATTGTTACCTCATAACCTTGCCTGAAGGTGGTCTAGTCTTCATTTGTTTTTAGCAACGCAGTAGAGCGATATTTGTTTGTGCGTTCAGAGCTTGGCTTGGCAATAATATATTTGTCGCAATGTAAAACAATACAGTGTTCTCCCGAAGCATATTAGCTGTCAATTTTACCCGTAAAAATAACCACCCAACCAGTAAATATTTTGTGTTTGTAAAATAAAAATTTAAAAAAACCATTTAAAGGCCTAAGTGGTTTAGGCTAGCCCTCTTTCAATAAAGGAACATTATTCCAATCTAAGACTAGTATAGGCTATGGTGTTGTTTTTTTTTTTTTTTCAAGTCATTAAACACAAAAGGAGCAACACTCACACTGTGCACATAGCTGAATTTTATGGACAAATTTACCAGTAAAAATGTTCCAATTAAGAGAACACTGACAATAGCTTTAGCCTTTTGCACCCAAAATGCAAAAAATACCCTGCAATATTATGGAAATGGAAACGATGACATGACAACTGACTCATAATTAGTACTCTAATAGATATTGTCTGGTGTATACTTTATCAGAAATGAAAAACTGAAATCATTAAACTGATAGATGGATCTCTTACCTGGATACAGAGTAAAAACAATTGGATTTGACCATCTAAGTTCTCCTTCCTCCTTGATTGGCCATGAAAGACTCCAGTTCTTCACACTGGAAAACTAAACAATAATTTGAAAAATTTAACTTAATTTATTTTATTTTTCACTCGAGTATGAATAACAGAACATGATATTAATGATGTAAATAGTGATGATATGATGCAATATTGATGATACGATGTAAATAGTGATTATATGATGTAATAGTGACGATATGATGTAACAGTGATTATATGATGTAATATGATATGATGTAAATATTGATGATATGATGCAATAATGTTGATATGATGTACAGTAATAGTGATGGTATGATGTAATATTAATGATATGATGTAAATAGTGATGATATCATGAAATAGTGTTTATATGATGTAATAGTGATATGATGTACAGTAATAGTGATGGTATGATGTAAATATTGATGATATGATGCAATAGTGTTTATATGATGTAATAGTTATGATATGATGTACAGTAATAGTGATGGTATGATGTAATATTAATGATATGATGTTAATAGTGATATGATGTAATACTGATGAATCACAAAATTGAATAAAGAACAATGCATTTTTACCTGTGCTGTCATGAAGGTGTCACAGGTTTCATCCAGGTGAGGTGACACGCCTGTGTTTTTTGTTCCAATAAAAAAATTCATGTTAGGATGAGAAGCATTGGCAAATGGTTCCCGGGTGTAAACATCTTCTGATAAAAAGTATGGCGCCCTCACTTGATTCACCCAATCCTGAAAAAATGTTTAACATCATATTTATAGCTATTACTATCAGTTGCATATAAAAGTAACAAACTATATTTTCAAAATCTAATCTATTTGCATTGGAACTTTCAGTCAGACACAGTACTGTACATATTTGGCTTATGCTGAATATTCACACAAAACTAAGAGTACATGACGTATTGGAGTAGGTTGTGCAGTGTCTATGTTCATCTATGCTCTCATTATCACTCTTGCTATCATTTCTCCTAGAGCCTCCCAGAAATCAAGTCGTCCTCTCACAATCCTACAAGAAAACAAAAACCTCCTGGAAACAAACCAGCCTCCTGCAAATTCAATATATTTATATGTTTTACTGCTGTATTATCTATTATCTTCCGGATGTCAGCTGGTAATGGTATCGCCATGTACAGCAAAAGTACAGTTAGATGTGTTAAGAAAGTTCATTTGACCAGATCTCCCAGAAGAGGCTTCTTCCAACTTAAGACCACTGTAATAACTATAATTCCAGCTATTATTTAGTAAACATAACCATGGAGAAAATATATATATTTCCTCCATGGTATAACTTACTTGGATATACTTTGCATTTGTTGGAGTCCTAACATCTATGTATCCTGCAGCACATTCCAAGCCTTTGTAACTTTTCCTTTTATTAATATCTTTCAGTGGTGTAATAACTTGACCCTAGAAGTATTTAAAGCACTGAAATAATGCTACAGAAACCATACAGCTATGTACAACAAAAAAACAGTAATATAGAAATAGTGCTTTTATACAGCTCTATTCACTCTACCAATCTAACAAATTTGTGTGATTTGCCCATATATGGGCACGATGATGTCATATCACACCCATATATGGGGACAAAGTCACAAAAATTTGCCATATAAATTAGAATAAGCAGAGCTTAAGAGGTTATTCAGCGCCCCTTCTTGTACTACAGCTCTTTAAAACACTGTGTATTATATATTAAGACCGATATCTTTCACGCATAAGGCATACTTTTTTATAAAGAAGTGTATCGAATATTGTATCATACTGCATTCTTACCTGCCAATCAAAATACTCTGCATCAGGGTACTTGGAAAAAAATGATTGACAATTGAGCGAGCCAAGTCCTGGCCAGTCTAGTGTATCAAAAATAAAATAAAATCAGTGTGTATAATATACAGCAGTAATATCAACAGTAATGGTGGTTTGCCATATAAATATCATGGAAAATAAAAATAAATGTTTCAGATATATGGCAGAAAAGTAATTTAACTGAAAGCAATGTGATGTACCATCTACTGATACAAATCAATTTAGTACAGTACTATACTTGTCTTTCATTTACCTTTCATACCATCACTGACTACAATTGGTTCTCCTGCATTGACGATTTGTTCAAATTCTGCAAAAGTCAAGTTGCTAACTCTTCTAATCTGCTTGGGGGAACTGTTTCTAATGAAAGCTCTCTCTTCAGCAGAAATCCAATTTGGACAAGGTGATGTCATTGCATTCATGATGTCTGTAAAAGAATTATTATGATTGTTACATTTGATCTAGATTATTTTTTTCCACATACAACAAGAAGTAGTATTTGCTACTTACTGGATGGACTGATGCTTTCAATACAAAACTGTGGAGCTGTTTTTAGCAATGAGAAAAAAAAGGTGTTTTTTTTTATCTGGGAAACTTTAATTAGAATTTTGTTAATTTTTAATGTTAATGACTTTCACTCACTTACCTTCCTGTAAGAATGCTAAGGTCTGTACGACATCTACACCAATGATCAATGAACATATAGATGCAAAGAAAGGTAAAGTGACCTTCCAGAAGACAAGGAATGCAATTGGAAAACTTATCCCTAATAGGACAGCAACCTTTTGATCAACGGGTTTGAATTTTCCTGGGTGAAGTGAAGAACATTTCTTGCCCTCCATCTCCCGAACTTCATGAATTGATTCGGCCGTTTTAGACCTAGGCATATCCATGTTGTTACTTTTATTTCCAGGAACCCTTTTACTCATCCTAAAACTAATACTGAAATGTGAAATACGAAAATAAACGTCTAAAAGGTACTAAACGTGTCTTCAACCCACAATTAAAAACCTATGTAATGGTATCGCAAGCCCTCAATGCCTTCACTTGTTTACATTTTGAGTGACCTTATTTAGGCTTATAGCTGACCTTTAATTCGTATGTTTCTGTAATACTTTAAAAGCAAGCAGAAACAATTAATTTTATTATATTAATTAATAAAGTTCAGTATAATATATTTATTTAAAAAAAATAATATTTTATAATAGTATGTAGGCCTAAACCGCTATTTTAATAACAAAATTGGAACAGTACTTCGCGAAATAGTTTCGAACGGAAACGATCGCCGTCGACGTCGTAAGCCTATGGTGTTTAGTCATGTGGAACGAAAACGTGTGTAGTACACACACAATAAACCTCGCTCGCTAGCTTTATTTTATAATACAGTACAGTATTGTCTTTTATGTGCTGCAGCCATGCTGTAGCCTACTAGGACTGGGGCCTAGGATTCAAATGGGAAAGATAAAAAGAAAACGTTCAAAATTCCATCTTCCTGCTTCTGGACCAGGAAAGGGAAATGAAGATGGGGATAAACAAACGGTAATACAGTTTAGTACTATTTATCTTTTATTTAGTAATTACTTTATCATGACATGAAGTACTGAATTCTTGTTCTGGTTTCAGGAACCAACATATAGTCAGATGGATGTGACATCAACAGGCTTAGGGCCTATATTTCCAACTAAAGGCCTTTTCAACTTTAAGAACTTTGATTTGGCAAATGTTAACACCCATCTGAATGTAGATAATGATGACACAAGAAGTTTCATATCAAAAAAGAGTATTGGAATAGGACAACACTTGAGAAAGAAAGATAAGATGAAAATTCGACATGAGAAATGGTTAGAGAGTAAGTATGCATACAGTAAAACTTCAAATAGAAGCCTAATCGGCTTAATTTTGGGAAGAAGCCCATCTCCGAATTGAAACCCCTCTTTAGTTTGCAAAAGTAGCCTTTAAAAAAAAAAGCCCATTTCGAGATAAAGTACATACCTGTATGTGAATTTCAGACATTTTAATTTGATTTGACTTATTCAGAAGCCCATCCAAAGGTTGCATAAAATAAAAAGAAGCCCGAGGTTTTATGGTATTAATTATTTATAGTTAAGCTTTTGAAAATTTTAATTTTAATATAAAAAAATCAACAAATCAATCAAATTAGCCGAATGTTTGTGAAAACTACATCCCTAAATCAATTATGGTAATATTTTTACAGAAATTCAAAATGTGAAAACAGCGAAAAAGAAGAAAGCCGATGCTAAAAAAAGAGCAAGTACAGCTATCGTTGGTGACCTTCAACCTTTAACAGATGCCCTTCCAGAACTCTCTGAAATCCTACAATTAACAACAATAAAAAAGTCAAATGCTGAGAAACATGCTGCCAGGTAAATTACTAATAAATTGAGAGGGGAAAAGTCATACACCGGTTACCATACTCCAAATAATTATTTTTCACAATGGTCATTGATATTATTCTGATAGTAGTAGTCATCATCCCCATAAGCTGATTTGCTCACAATATTATTTAGATTGGTACTGCTGTTATTGCTAATTGTTGTTATAAGTCAATCGTGATGTCATCACTGTAACTCCCTATGTTATTTGCCTATTCCCCAGCGTTCACTAATTTTTCTATTAGTGGACGCTTGGCTTGATTTTTTTTTAGGTTCGTGTGTAAAAAAAAATTCCTCATTTTTTGTCACCGCGAAATACATCGCGTACCGCGATAAAAATTGAATTGAAAATTACTTTCGTAAAATAAGCTTATTAAGAACCCGAAGAAAGTTACTTCAAATTCAATATTAAGTATGAACAATTAAGGAATTCATTGAATCAATGGACCCTCATAAACACAACAAACTGAACGTTTAATAGGAATACTCTATACCTTTTGTAAAGACTCCAGGAACAAATGTTGATGTAGGCCTATGGCCAGGCAGGAGGCCGCACAGGCCTCCTCCTACTACAACTAGACCTTAGCCTAGCCTAGTTATGAAATCTTCGCACGATTTTACCTGTCTGCATGCACCGACCAAAAAGGACGTCAGAGACTGTATTCTCTCTCGAATCCTGAAATGTTTATTTCTTTGACGAAAGTCTATCAAGCAATAGCATTTCAAACAAGTTCATTCTAACACAATACAAATTACAATAGTTATTGATCGCATCTGTACTGTGCTGCTGATGTGTAGTTAAACGCGTACTGCAGGAGCAGAAATCGGCATACGCACAGCTAAATATAAATACGCACACGTATACTGATCATATCACTATAGCAACCGATGACTGCTACCACAGTTGCTTATAAAAAAACTAAAATTAAAAGACGGTGATTGACTTATAAAGCAATTAGTAGAGCATGCATCATACACTAAATGGAAAATTATTATACTTAGGTTAGATTTAATGCATTCAAAAATTTCCTTCGGGCATTAAATCTAACCTTCGTACAATAATTTTCCTATAGTGTACTATGCCTAGCTCTACTAATTGCTTATTATTATTGAATCAAAATGAATATTGCTGGGGTGCAACATGAATTAATCTTAATTGATTTCATCTAATTTTTGCTCAGGTTAAAGACAAAAACAAGTACCTGGAAATCTGGGGATCGACAGAAGCTTGTGTATGTATGCAGTATATTTATATTTTAAATACATAAGATGACACATTAAAGTATTTTTAGATACCTGCTGCAAAATATATTTAGGAAAAAAACTAATTAGATTGATTTTAATAAAATATAATTTTATTATTACCATTGCCTTGCCGAAGGAAAGATGAAGGTTATTGTAATAGCACCCTTCTGTATGTGTGGTGTGTGTGTCCTACTGGAAACGATTTACTTCAAATTTTTACACATTGGCGTTGTTACGTGTATTTTGGTCCTCCTCGAATTTGGTGCTGATCAGAAGTAAAACGCAGAATTTAGAATGTTATTTACATATTTTCCTGCCGCAACAGACAGCCAACTCGAGCAGATCGTTCTACTGAGACATTTGGCCAGGCCGAGCTGACTGTGTGTCAAATTCTGGCTACTGGATTGGAAGCGGTCCATATGGCGTGCAAGGTTGCCCGATCGATGGGCTTGCCAGACGAGGGCTATGATACTAGGTCTAGTTTGGCGAATGACCGCGGGCCACTATTTTTTCACTAGATACAGTACATATATCGCAACTGGGTGAGGGTTTGTAATCTCAGATTATCTTGTTTTACATTGAAATTTTTTTTTATTTACTTTCAGCATGAATGAACTGGCCAACTTCAAACAGGTTCTCAATCATACTGCATTCAAATCAAATGCTTTAGCAGCCATAAACCAACATTTAAAGAACACGATTCAAAATGAAAAAGACAAGATGGATGACGGATGAACAGTTTGTGAAATTAACCTACAATTTAAAGATTTGTAGGACAAAACTGTCCAACAGCCTGCAACCTGATATGTTGCCGGCTGTATTATGTGCCATAGTGTTTTTAGTTTTAATCTGAATCATGAACAGAAATAAAATACAGTATAAGGTCATTGTGAGACATGTCTTATTTATTTTCGTCTACCAAAACTACTTTTCAAAATATACAATTTAATAGTTTCTTAAATGATTGATGGACCATATTTACTAAACATTGTTGAAAATTATACATTGGTGAGCGAGCCATGTTCTAATATTTACTACAATGATAAAAAATAAACATAAAAATGTTTGTCTTGTTATGCACTGTGTCATTAAGCCCGCCCTCATTAAGCCCCGACATGTGTTTATGGGGGGGAAAAGCGTATTTCTGTCCCCTTTTGGTATATTATTTTATATTAATTGAAATTGCTTAAAAGATACATACTCTATGTAGAAAAAAAACGAAACAATAGAATTTTTTTTTAAATCCTCAAATTTATTATCTGCCAATTCAAAAGTTTATTCATCTCTGTAAATTAATGGAGAGAATATGTAGCTTTGATTTCTATATGAAAGCTAATTTACTTGCTTAATTATACAAAATAAGCATAAAGTATTTTAATAACTAAGTTTTGGCAAAATACATATCTATTCCTTAATGAAATTCTGAAGGGAAATTGAATATTTGTACACAGTTAAATTAATTTGTCCGAGCATCATTGTGGCCTTCCATTTTAATCATTGAATCACTGGAAAGGTTCTTGTACGGCATCTCTATAGGAGTGTTGAATAAGTACACGTGTCTCTGAATTACTGCTGCGATGATGACGAACGACTGGAATCTATAAAATATAAAAAACGGCGAAACTACTCGCAGAAGTGCGCCCCAGTCGCCTGCGTCATAAAATGAAACTTCTAACTCTTCTATGCAAAGTTCTTTTGATTCTACCATGAGATTGAAGATATATAATATCAGGTTGTAAACCAGCAACACAAGAAGGATCGTCTTTAGTTCATTGGAGAAATGAAATTTATCAATACGTACAAGTTTACATAAAAACATTGTCTGTGCAGTGCTTTGCAGAATGATTATACAATCACGGATGAGAACGACGAATGCTGCGTAACGAGTTGTCGAATCAACGATGCTGTAGACGGCAGCGATTAGAGAGCACGCATTTTGTAGGAAGATTCCACTTAGTGACAGAAGCAAGAGATTTTGATCCAAATCAGTTATGCATGTTTCATGCGTAGGATTCGATAGTGAGTCTTTCATTCTAAACCAAATATAACAAACAGTAAAGAGCAGAAATGCATAAATGAGGATCTCTGCAGTGCCATCCAGCTGCAGCAGCAGACTCGCCCGATGCTCGCTGCTTTGATGAGTGTTACGCTGCTCGTGATAGCAAAATACCATCAGAGCTATCTCAGAAGCCACAAAGAAACTCACTGTAGTGATTGCTGTTAATATAAGGGTGATAAGACCAGGTCCTGGTCGATGGTGCGACAAATGACATTCATCAGTATTCCGGGATTCTACCAGTTTACTCTTTTCGTCGTAAACTTCGAGATGAAGTTGTGGCGCAACTTTTGCCGATTCCAAACTTTGCTTTGTTTGGAGGTTAAATTCGTTCTCTTTGGACATACTCAGCCAGAATACTTGATAGATAATCCCGATCATTAGTGCTGTAAATTCTGACAGAACTGATATATACATGTTGTTGAAGAATTTTATAGAGTCGTCTTGGTTTATCACGGATACGAACCCCAACGAGCAGTTCACCTCCTTTGTTGGTTCGACATCTAATACAGACTTTGCGTTTTCGAACATGGCGTACAATATCAAGGAAAAGTTAGACCACAATAAAGTGGCTAACATCATGTAATTTCTTATCTTTGAACGGAGCTTCTTTCTACAACGTTTTTTCTCGACGTATTTCATCGGAATTAATGTAAATCTAAGAAGGAACAAACCAGTAAAATGCCACCAGGAGTTGCTCTGCCGTGGAGTGCCGAACAAACAATGCATTAATACCATTTCCATGACCACGAAAATCCATATCAACACAACCATGGCGACTTTGATGTTAAAAAGTGGATATCCTACACAATGTATATAAATAAATAATGGCGCTATTTGAAATGCTGAGGTAGCGAGTAAAAGAACGCTTCCTGTAATCATTAGATAAATACCGTTATCCTGAAAACGATGGATGGTTTCTGACACACCCGTTTCGAAGAAAATTCCTTTATCGTCATCCCTCTCATTATCTTTGTCGTGGAAATCTTTTAGTAGAATAACAAGGATAAGTATTCCAATTGCTATGCAGGTGCTTAAAGCGAGGTACAGCGTTGATGCGGACACAAATTCCCGTTCAAAGTGTTCATGCGGTGCCCCGAACATAAATGCTAAGGGAATGCATATAAGGAAAATGAACCAAATCCAGCCGCATACAAAGCCTTGTGCGTCCTGAAAGATATAATAAACCATTATATTTCAAAGTTGCAATGTTTTAAAAATCATTTCATATAAAGTGATTTATAATACATTGCCACCTATAGGCCTATGCAACATCCGTAAAAATGGAGTCAACTCTAGACATTCAGTTTAATATAATAATATATAGGCCATAATATATAATATCTTGCATCTTCACGTGATGTAATTACGCATGGGAAAGACGCCAGGTGATACATGAAGGTTAACAAATTGAATTATTTTCCCTAATCATCGCACATTTCATAAATTATAATTATTTTTGAAATAATAAGGATTAACATTGTTATAAAATACTAATTAAGATGATTTTTTCTCTTTCAATTTAGAGGTTTTTCGATTGCTGTTGTCGCATTCCTGACTTACTGGGTTTTACTTTGTTTAAAAATTACAGTGTATTGTGTAAATAACAGAAAGTATCTCGGCACACCTGTTATTTAATTAAATAAAAGTGCAAATGGTAGGACTACGCCATCTAAAACAAGTGAATTACTAAACAACTGTTGAATCTCACAGATTCACATAAAACCAAAGTTATGGTGGTAATCTATACAAAACAGTTTGGTCAGGCTGTTAATTAGGCCATATTGGTATAGGCCTATTGTTGCATAGTAAGCAAAAAAGGCAAATTCTCTACTACTGTATTAAATTCATCCAGGCCCACGATGGCTTGTCTGTATGCTGTCGAATGATATAGTGATGATGAATAATGATATGATACATGGTGGTAATAAATAGTTATTTTATTTCACAACTACGCTACACCCAACAGCCAGTGGCCAATTACAGGATGTCTTAGATAGATACAATTTAAAAACATTTAAAATATTACTATATAAAGACATTAATACAACATAAATATACAATGAGAAAGTAGTTCTAAATGAAAAACTTAACCGAAATACATCAATCGTGGTGTCTAACTGTTCACTCTATTTAATGGTATGAATAGCAAGTGTTTATTTCGTGAGTTGGGCCTATTAACTTTCAGAGGAAATAAAGAACACAGAATGCAATCAAATCGTGAATTTAAACATCTCAAAAGAAATATATCAAACATACACCTATTATTGAGGGGGGGGGGGAGTAGTGAGATATTATTATTATTACTATTATCACTAATTATTATTATTATTATTATTATTATTATTATTATTATTATTATTATTATTATTATTATTATGGCAATGTTCGAAGATGATGGATATCATCGTTGATATATAAAATAAGCCTAACACTAATGATAACCATGTTGCAAACAAAAATAAGTAAAGCAGCGGGTGAACATGCGCAATTGTGACATAATTTAATCATGCACATTAGCCCTTGGTATAACGAATAGTACCGAAACCCTGGCGATAGCCTAACTATAAGCATATGGCAACCCGATTTTAATTTAATACTGATTTTTTTTTAATGAATACAGCACACTTACATGTTCGTGACGTTCCATCTTCGTATGATACCAAACTGCAAGTACGCTTTCTACAGATAAATCACTGTACGGATTATGAAATACAAATGAAGCACTGAGTTTTAGTTAATTTACAACAATAACACGGAACAATCGTACTCCACTGAAATCAATGAATGTGATCGAAATTTATGAATTGTTTTAACACTTTACAATGTCGGGCCAATAGCGATCATTACGTTGAATCAAAACACCCCTGTGCGCGTATTCAACCATGACGTAATGCGCGAAAATCTGGTCATAAAGGTATTGTAGACACTCTCATCATACCACGTCATTATATAACATATAACGATCATACAATGT